TTGATGATTATTACTATTTTTGGTATTTTGGGGGTGGAATCCGGGCCTCATCCACGCTAGGCCAGTGTTCACAGCCGCCAGGGTGATGGCCTCCTAGTGGCAAAAGCCGCAGAGCCCCTCCCGCAGGCTCTTCACGGACCTGTGCCCTGGACTTTCAGAGCCCTGGGCTCCTTGACTCCACTCCCTAATTCTCCACTTCCTGCATTGCTGCATCTTCTCTTTTTTTTTTTTTTTTTTTTTTTTTTTTTTTTTTTTTTTGGTTTTTGGTTTTTCTCCAGTACCGGGAACCGAACTCACAACCTTGCGCTTGCCAGGCAGGCGCTTTGCCGCTGAGCTAAATCCCCAGCCCCTGGCTTCATTCTTGGAACGATCCTCCTACCTCAACCTCCCAAGTGCTGGGATTACAGGCGTGCGCCACCACACCCGCCTCTTTGCTCATCCTCTTATTTTGAGGTTTTTTTGAAATTTTTTCAACTGCTTGCACATGGAGAGCCCCAGGTCCATATCTCCAGTCTCATTCTCAAGCCCAGAGCTCAATTTTCTGGCATCTACAGGATGCCTCTGACCACATTCAGAACTAAACTCACCATTTTCTTACTCCAGCCATGCTCTTTTTACAGTGTTTCTTATCAGCTTGTCGACATGATGTCACCTCCTCCCTTCCCACTCTCCACCTAGTCATGTCTCCAGGGTCAGCTCCAGTGGTGAAGTTCCTCTTCCTCCTGTGTCCTCCCTCCCACGCCCTTCATGTCTACCTGGGACCGCAGGGGATCCTGCCTGTGCTCCCTGGTCCCGAAAGAAGCACAGATGTTAACACAAGCACTGTTTGAAAGCTGGGCTTTGCATGTACGCATGAAAAAATAATTCTTTCGAAAAATTTTACAGATTTTTAAAAAATGAAGTATTTATTTTCACTTATTAAAAGCAGAGGAAAATATCATTATAGCTATAGAAGACCAATCTGTGATCAATCTTTTTATTTCATATACTAAGGATTTAAAGGATCTTTTCTCATTTTTATGATTCTCCACAGGAGAATCAAGATAAATAAGTTGGTAGGATTATACCTAGGGCCTTAGAATAAAGACGGAGAAATTAAAACACAGAGTACAAGGGATATCCGGCTCACTCAGTCTGCTGGGGGTCAGTTGTCCTTAAGAACGACAGTATAAAATTCAGGGTTAAATATTCACAGATAAAAAGATTTCAGTAAGACAGCTTTACTATTTTAACAAGGGAGTTAAATACAGTATTGAATCCAAATCAACTTTATCTTGCCCTTTTACTTAGTCAAAATTTATTTCTAAGGACATGATTTACTTAACTGATTTTAATCTCTCAGCAGTATATATAAAAATTATAGATATGTAGCAGTAGCATATAATTGGAGAATAAAGGAAGTATAGTGATTCTTTAAGTTCTGTTATCTGAGGTCTAGTATTTTCTGCTTCTGAATGCTAGATATACAAGAGTCAAAAATGGTAGACACAGGGCGTTCTGCAAAGCCTATTAACTGTTCCCAGGAGCAGGCTGTCTGGCATAAACCAATGAGTGCTTTTCTACTCTAGGCAGAACTGACCTCTGTTGCCTCAAACCTCTTCACAGAGAACACCTGATTCTCTAATAGTTATTTTATAATCTACCTTTCTAATTTATTAATTAAAAAATTGTTTTTGGTTTTCTGAGACAGGGTCTTGCTATGTCGTTCAGGTGGGCCTTGAACTCACTGTGTAGCCTAGGCTTGACTCCAACTCACAGTGATCCTCCTGCCCCAGCCTCTTTTGAGTGCTGGGATTATAGGTGTGCACCACCATGCTCAGCTAATTCAGATATTTTTGATCTTTACTATATGCGAAGCTTTACTTTGTGTGCTAGAAAATTAATTAAATAGTGTTACAGATTAATTAAATAAGGTTGTAGTATCACTTTGGTTTGTCCACAAAACAGCCATAGCATCTAGTGTAGCTATAAAGAATTTAGTGGGAGCCGGGTGTGGTGGCGCACGCCTGTAATCGTAGCACTTGGGAGGCAGAGGTAGGAGGATCATTGCAAGTTCGCGACCAGCCTGGACTACAAAGTGAGCTCAAGGCCAGCCTGAACTACATAGTGAGACCCTGTCTCAAAAAGAAAAAAAAAAAAAAAAAAGAAGAAGAAGAAGAATTTAGTGGGAGAGTGGGGGCCGTTGGAGGTGTAAAGATCAGAGCAGGACCTTTAGAGAAGCAGCCCGACACTCTGGTGCAGGGCAGGAAATCCCAGTGGGCGGTGTAGCAAGGAGATCTGGACCTTCCGTGTCCGTCTGCTCTGTGGAGATAATGGCCTCTGTTTCACATTTGCCTTCCAAGGTTCAGAGGAGTTCCTGTCAATGGCAACCCAGGTCATTGTTGGAACCTGGCTTTTGAGCAGTGCAGCACCAGGCCTCAGCAGGGCCCACGCCTCTGCACAGCGGCACACCCGGGTCATGGCACCCAGGCACGCTGTCGCCCGTGTCGATCCACTCCTAGTTCATCTCCACTGCACACCCTTTCCATGGAAGCATCTTAGACTTGCCTGTGGCTACAGACATTTTCTAAATGTTATTGAAAATACTACTGATTTCTCTCGGGCCTGTTTCTGGAGCTCTCAACCTGATCCAGGTTCCCTCTTTAAACACTGCTTGTCGCTTATCAGTCATCTGAGCAAAGCCCCAGGGGTCCTAGGGCAGCAAGCATGAATTTCATCAGTGATTTCGATTTCCAGGTCTCATAGAGAAATACACAAATAAAGACTACATGACTAACTCTATTGAGAATCTCAATATTTGTGTATCTCTGGACTTGAGACCGAAGTCCAGAGTGCGATTACAGAGTAGAATCTGTTTTTGACATTGGTAGAAGAAATGTTGATATGGCACTTTACCTGCTGATAGGAATCCAGCAGGCCGGCGCTTTCGCCTGCAGTTGAAATTACCCCTCAACAACCCTGTGTATCTCTATCTTTGCCTATTCACCTATAGGTTGTTTTAATATTTGAAAATCTTCAGTGACTAAACAAATGATGAGTAGTTGAAATCCAACCCAGTATAGGATTTTTACCAATGATTGTTTGTTTTTAAATGACTGCATTAGAAAAACTTGGCATGCTTGGACATAACGTTTTCTGAATCCTAAGTGGTTGAGAAATAAGATCCGGCTCATGGAACAGTTGAGTATGTGAATAATTACCTTAGCATATTCTTCCATTCGGCAGAACGAGCTATACATTTTAATAGTTGAGGTACATGCTTAAAATATGTGTCCTGAATAAATTGTTAATGTCAACAGTTTTAAGCATGACTCGAATATTGATTATGCATACGTGATTGATTTGCTTCTATCTAGAGTTTTTTGCTCAACATTTCTTCGAATGACATTAGTTTTATGACGTTGAGGTAAGTGCTGTCGGCTCAGAATTATGTAATTGTTTATATTGGGCCTCTGTGCACAAAGTCTGGCTTAAAGAAGATGGCGGGGGGCTGGGGATTTGGCTCAGCGGCACAGCGCCTGCCTGGCAAGTGCAAGGTCGTGAGTTTGATTCCTGGTACCAGAAAAAAAAAAAAAAAAAAAAACAAAGAAAAAAACAAAGAAGATGGGTGGGTCTGGAGATCAGCATGTTGAGCCAAATAAGCCAGACGCAGGCAAGTAGCACACGTTCCCCTGATGACGGAAGCCACGGAAGATCCGTGACAGCGGGAGGGGGAGTGTTGTTCTGTAGGAGGAGGGGAATAGGGGAGGACGCACGGGATGTGTGTGAGCAAAATATGTGCATTGAAACCAAGTATTTTATAAAATTAATAGGCACTAATAATAAAAGTAAATAAAATAGTTTCATTTATGATATAAATCTAGGACTTCACATCAAAATTTGAAGTCTGGGTCATGCCAGTTTTAAAGTCTAGATTAAATAGATGCTTTTCTACAAAGAAGTAAAAGACTACAATTCGACTCAAGAGGACGGGAAAGGGCAAAGATCTGGATGTATTATGTACATGTGCCAGCTCCCCACATGTGATTATTCTGTACCGCAAACATGGACCGATAAAAATTTAAAAAATAAAGTTGACCAAGAGGAGAGAAACAAAAGATATTGAAAAAGAGCACAGGAATTCCAAAGCTGGCTCTTGAGTCAGATTCTTGAAGGTGGAGTTCTAGATCTGCCATTCATTAGCTGTGACTGGCGAATTCCCTAACTTTTCTGTGCTTCAGTTTTCATAGCTGTAAAGTTAGAAGAGCTATTAAGAAAGTTCACTGAAATACTACCTGTGTGGGACTTAGGCACATACAGGAATGCAGTGTGTGCTGGGAAAAGGTCTCTTGTTACTCCCTAAGAAGACCGAACAAGTTGTAGGTATCAAGTGATGTCGTCTGATTTGTTGATTGTATAATAAAAGATTATATATATGTAAGTATATAAATAAAAGATGATACGTGATGATGTTAGTTGTAAAATAACAGCAAGTAGATGATCTACTAGTTCTTCTATGGTAGTTAAATTAAAAACAATTTTTGTATTTTATAAAAATCTTTGCTAAGCCAAATGTTAGATGGTAGGCTGGTAATGAATTCAGGGAATTTTGGGGTTTTGTTTTGTTTTGTTTTGTTTTGTTTTGTTTTGTTTTGTTTTTTGGTGTCTGGCTGTAAGGGGGATGCTACAGGGGATTAAAGCCAAGTCCTTACCACCTTTGCATTAGCTACATCCCAGCCCTTTTTTATTTTTGCTTTTGAGACAAGGTCTCACTAAATCACTAAGTTACCCAGCCTGGGCTTAAATTTGTGATCTTCCTGCCTCGGCCTCCTGGAGTAATGGGATTACGAATGTGTGCCACTGTGCCTGGCACAAGTTTAGAACTATATTTAAAGCGCTATAGGTGCTCATGAGACTTATTAAAGAATCCTGCTGTACTTTGACACTTCATGTGTTGCTGTTTAAACAGCGCATATAGCATCTCGTGCATTCAGTGATCCTGAACACACCCCCCTCCACAGGTGAACGTTGGCAAGATGGACTCCCCCATTGAGAAATGGAACCTCATCATCGGCAACTTGGCTTTAAAGCAGGTGAGTGAAACACACGTTGGTTTGCAGATATTGTTTCAGATCATGGGTGCTGTTGTAAGAATGGAGCAATGTAGTAATGTAGTGCTGTGAAGTCTGCCATTTAATTGTTTCAGACACTATCAAATCAGTGATTTAGTACCTTGAAAAAGTGATAGACTGAATGACTTCTGAGATTCTTTCTCTAGAAACTTAGCAACTTCTTCCAGATATGAAAACATATAATATATAAAATATGGGAAAGTATAAGAAATATTTCCTGTCACAAATAATAGAGCCAGATTTTGTACAAATAACTATTTAATATTTACTTAGGTGCTAGTTTTGTACTTAATTTTTTTTTTCAAGACAAGGTCTTCCTCTGTTGCCCAGGCCGATCTCAAACTCCTGGGCTGAAGTGATCCTCCTGCCTCAGCCTCAGAGGGTAGATGGGAATATAGGTTTGTACCACCATGCCAAAGCCTACTTTAAGTTTTTGAAGTATATTATTTGCTTAATTAAACTGATCATGTTTTGGTCAGCCATTTGTTTAACTTGTTAATGTTAGCATAAACAAGTACATTCAGTCACCTGTAACAGGCACCGAAGCACAGGTAATACGGAGTCTCTGGCTCTTTCTGATCTCAGCTACGTATGCCTTCTGCCTGTGCCGTGTCCTGCCCTAGCCCCCTCTCAGAAGGCTGCATGTACCCCTGGTAACCCTCGCTAGCCGGAGCTGAGGAGGCGCACACTGATTTGAATGTCAGCTCAGCCAGGACGTATGCTTGAGCACAAGGTAGTGGGAGCATGATCTGTGTAACGCATTTCAGAGAGAGGCGTGGTTGGAACATGGGCCTTGTTTTTATGGTGTGTGCAGTGGCTGCTGAGGTTGTAGGCTCGGAGATAAGTAAGTCTGGATCCTATCTCAGCTCTCGTAGAACCGGCTGCATAGCCTTGTTAACTTACTTAACCTTCCTGGGCTCTCTTTTAAATCACAGCAGCGGGGCTGGGGATTTAGCTCAGCGGCAAAAGCGCCTCCCTGGCAAGCGCAAGGTCGTGAGTTCGGTTCCCGGTACCGGAGAAAAACCAAAAAAAAAAAATAATAATAATAATAATAATAAATCACAGCAGCATGTTAGAGAAGTTGAAAGCCCATTCCAGCCTGAACCTGTAAGAATCTATGCAGAGGCGGCCATCAGAATATTTAATGATCAAGAGGACGCTAAAATTACAAATTTGAAAATACGTTCGCTTCTATTTTTTAAATGCCCCATACCAGTGATGGCAAAGCTTTTAGGGCTTTAATAACACAGACAGCCCGCTGCGGCACAATGCCACAAGTTTGCCACTGCCGCCCTAAACTGGGGGGCGGGGTGTCAACCCAGGGCCTTGCACTCAGCTACATCTCCATTCCTTTTCATTATTCATATTTTTTAAATTTTGAGACAGGGCCTCACCTAGTCATTAAGTTGCCTAGGCCAGCCTTCAATTTATGATCCTCCTGCCTCAGCCTCCCAAAGTGCTGGGATTATAGGAATGCTCTTGGTTTAAGTTCCCTAACCTCTCATGAAGTAATACGAGTTGTGTGTGAACTGTTCATCAGATCATTCTAATCGTTTCCATCTCGGCTTGTAACTTCCTTCCAATCTTATTTCACCTTTCTCTTGTTATCCTTTCTTCTTGCAACTGCTTGCTTGAGTAGGCTGGGATTCGCTGACCTGTTGTCATTGCCCGATGCCTATCTTTGTCTGCCTCACTCCACCATGGCTGTGGAAAGACCAGGGAAGCCAGGCAGATCAGTCAAGACCCCGTGGTGCCAGCCAGGGAGGCTGCAGGGGTGGAGCCCAGTTACCAGCAAACAAAAGCAAGAGGAAGAGAAAATGGAGTGGGGTGGGTAGGCTTGGGGGTAAAGGTTATTCTCTCCCTAGGGCTCTTCCTACCTCAGCTTGTGAAGGAGAGGCATGCGGGAAGGGCCTGAGCTGGGCACATGCGAGCCTCTTCCTGGGTGTGAAGGGTAGATATGATATGAAAGTTTTGATCCTCCTGCCTCAGCCTCCCACAGTGTTGGCCTGCACCGCTACATCCAGCTCTGAGGTCATGTTTGAATGTCTCTTTCTCCGATGACCAAGAGCTCTGTGCAGCGGGGATATATTCGGACCAGGGTTGCAGCCCCACTCAGAGCTCAGCGCACTGTGCACAGTGGGACCTGAGCAAGCTCTGGTTGGAGCGGGCTTGGAGGTGCACGTCTGCAATCTCAGATACCAGGGAAGTCCGGAGGCAGAGGCTCGTGGGTCTGTGGCCAGCCTGGGCAGTTCAGCCAGATCCTGCCTCAGAAATAAAAAGAAAAAAGAGGTCTGGGGGTGGAGCTCCACGGCAGAGCCCATGGCTAGCCGGTGTGAGCAGTACCCAGCCCAGTACTGCAAAAAACAAACACCAGCAACCAAGAAACCCAACCAAACAAGCTCATTGAGTCAACGGGTGTCAGTCTAGTGACCCGCCCAGGATAAACATGGAGCAGGAGGAAGACCGCACCATGGGATCCCAGCCTCAGCTCTGGAGCTGCGAGCTGCGGGCTGGGCCCTGTGTGCTCTGCTGCAGGCCGCATTTTCTTAGCAATCGCCTGGAGCGCCAGGGCAGCCCAGTGTCTCCGGGACCTGAACACCAGAGTACACCAGGGCTTCTTCGAAAGCTGGTGCGGCTCAGTCACCGCAGGCCGTGCTTTCTTCTGCCTCCTGTGTGTAATGTTTACATGGGAAAATAGTAAATGTTTTAAAAGTTTCTAATTCAGTTGGATTTTATGTTTAGGTTCAGGCTACAGTAGTTGGTTTTCTAGCAGCTGTGGCAGCAATTATATTGGGCTGGATTCCAGAAGGAAAGTATTACCTCGATCATTCCATACTTCTGTGCTCCAGCAGCGTGGCGACCGCCTTCATTGCATCTCTTCTGCAGGGTAAGTATGTGAGTAAATGCCTGCTCTACAGTCTATCCATCCATCTGTCCTTCCCCTCTCTCTCTCTTTTTTTTTTGAGACAGGGTGTCCCTTTATATTCCATGCTGGCCTAGAACTTGCAGCAATTTTCCTGCCTCAGCCTCCTGAATACTAGTATTACAGGCTGCACCACGCTCAGCTAGTCTTCCATTTCTAAATAATTTATTTCTCAGGATGTTGACTTTATTTAAATGATACTTGTTCATGATTAAGAGAAAAGAAGGTCATCCCAGACTTCAGTAGTGTTGCCTAGAGCTGGCTTTCTGAGGCAGGGTATTCCACCAGTAAGATCAGGAAAATGGCCGAGACATTTGTTTGTTTCTGAGTCAGATAACTGAGAAAATCCTTTCTGGAAACTACGCAGGGATCTGCTGGCTCATCTTGTGAGTAAGGAGTATTCCAGGAATTCTCAGTTTCAAAAGCAGTCCCTCTGTTAAAAAATTTTTAAGTTTCAGATTTCGGGAAAAAATGCCTTCGCTGTCTCTGTCGATACAGATATAACCGTATCCCGGGACGGCTCATTGTTGGCTGTAGGATGTTACAGACCAGCAGCTCCAAGGAGAACTTCTCAGTTGGATTATCTCGCATTTACTGATGTGAGCATTATCCCAGATGGCTAGTTTATGATGGAAAGCCATGACTGCTGTCTTCTTGCCTTTTTATCACCAGCAAAGTTAAAAAATGAAAGATTCTCATGCCAGGTTATCTTACAATGGAGCTACTTTTTAGCTAGAGTCTGGGAGTTTAGGGAATTCTTATCAAAATTAAGATGACTTCTTAAATACCCCTCTAGCATTTTATTTTAGTATTTAAATAATATTAGGGGTAGTTTCTTGTCTTTACTAGAATTGCTAGAGTTGAATGAAGTTAGCACTGACTAAGCATTACTAGAGTTGAATGAAGTTAGCACTGACTAAGCAGAATGAAGTTAAGCTATTGGAAAATTGAATTTCTGGTAAAATAAAAAAATTGTTGTAAGTACCCTGTTTATAGGCCACTTCTGCTTTCTTTGTGATTTGGTTTCATTTATATATTTTTAAAATTTTTAAATTTGAATTTATTTATTAGATTTGATTTCATTTTGAAAGTGTTTTAAAAGTTTTCAGTCTAAAGCCAGGCGTGGCAGCATACTCAGGAGGCTGAGGCAGGAGGAGCACCACAAGTTTGAGGCCAGCCTGAACTACAAAGCAAGACCCTGTCTCACAAATAAATACATACACACACACACAAGTTTTCAGTCTAGCAGGTGTTGAAATGCCTAGGATTTTCAAAACAATCAAAAACTTTATTTTAAAAAAATTCAGATTTTCTTTTGCTGGGTGTGGTAGTGCATGCCTGTGATCCCAGCACTCTGGAGGCTGATGTAGGAGAATTCCTAGAAGTTTGAGGCAATCCTGGGCACGTAGTGACTTCAAGGCTAACCTGACCTATATAGGAAGACAGCATCTTTTTTTTTTTTTTTCTTTTTTGGTACCAGTAATCGAACTCACAACCTCACACTTGCCAGGCAGGCACTTGCACCACTGCACTATATCCCCGGCTCCAACATCATCTCAAAAACAACAAAAGTTACAAGTTTTAAAATACTGTACATTTGTTTGAAGCTTCTTGCTTGTGTTCTGGTTTTATGATGACCTGACTATTTAACCATCTTAACATATGTGCAGCTGGGGAAAAACTCACTGGACAGGTGGGCAGGCTCTGCAGTCTCATCAGCCTGTCAGCGCAGAACCAGAATGAAAACCCAAGTTTTCTGGCTCCCGGCCCTCCCCGCCCAGCCGGGCTGCGTGTGAAATGCTTGTCTTAGGCTGCGAAGATGTGGGGGCGCTGTCTGGAGAAGCTCCCACGCAGATCTTCACATGTGCTGACTTGAGGCAAAGCTTCTGTCATCATCGCAGTCATGTCTCATTGGACCATCACATAACATAACGTATTTTTAAAACTATTCTGCTATTGCTTTCTTTTCTAGTTTTGCAATAATACTATGAAAGAGGAAAGTGAAATACTACAAAATAGAAAAAGGTTCCAGAATATAAGATAGAAGGTGTTAGTGAAGTAAGACAAAATTCTGGGTTTTACATTTGGCTTTATGGGATACAGGAAAAAACCTTGGTCTAGAATTACGAGCTGTATGACCTTGGGGCAAATTTAAACCCTGCTCCCCAGAACCTTAGTTATAGTATCCATCACTTCAGTATGCTGGACTCAAAAACATACACGCTCATTTTTATTCTGAAATTACAGCACGATTCTATCATTTTTTTTCCATGGCCAAATTTAGGTTTCATACCGACTTACAGTTTGTACATAAATCCACTAAGCGTGTCAACTTTCTCCGTACTGCACCTTCCTAATGGACGTGCTGGCAGGAGCCAGGTCTCTATAGTTAGATACGGATGCAAGCATTACATTTCTCCCCTGAATATGATTCAAGAAGAGGAAGACTTAAAAGTGCCACTGCAGAGTCACTTTTTCATCTTTTGTTGTTTTATTTCAGGTTTATAGGCAGAAACTTGGCATTTACAGCATATTTTTTAGCTAAACGGGGTGGCAAAGGTCTGTAATTCCTGCTGCTTGGGAGGCTGGTGCTGGAAGGTCACAAGTTTGAGGCCAGCCTGGCCACCTTAGCAAGACCTTGTCCTAAAAGGCAGGAGGTTGTAGGGGGGCTGCAAGTGTAGCTCAGCACTCCCTGAATTGAAAATCCATTATGGCGAAAGTAGAATAAGTTAACAACAACAACAACAAAAAAAAACATGTAACTTTTACAAAGACCATTTCTTGTGTTCTGGACTCCACTGTTCAAAGTGTAATTACTTCTGCTTCTTAATCCCTCAACACTTAATAATGAAACGAAGCAAGCACTTCTAGCTGCCATGTGTGAACAAATCTGTTTTTGCTGGGGTTCTTCCAAGCTGCCACGCATGTAAATGTGACTCACCTTGCTTTGGTGTTTTCATACTTTATTTGAAGGTTAAAATTGAAATCTTTGGCCTTGATGCACACAAGTCTATAATCTAAGACATGCAAATTACCGACCTGGAAATTTTAGCTTTCATATCGTTTTACAGTGGCGTTCAGTTCTTCAGGTGCAACACTGAGTTTCTCAGATCTTCTGCGATTTCCACTTGGGGTTTGTTGAAAAGTGTTTTGCCAAAGCATGAGAGTAATAAAATGTTTGTTTGTGTAATCAGTTTATCTAAGCAGTCTACCCAGAACAGATACACTATTCCTCTACCCTGTATGTTTTGGTATTTGAAGTATTGATTTTCTTTGCATCACAATACCGAAAGTAATGAACATTGTTCCTTCTAGGAATAATAATGGTTGGTGTTATTGTCGGTTCAAAGAAGACTGGCATAAACCCTGATAACGTGGCTACGCCCATCGCTGCCAGCTTTGGCGACCTTATAACTCTCGCCATATTAGCTTGGATAAGTCAGGGTTTGTACTCCTGTCTAGGTAAGTTGACTTGAAACTAAATTATACACCCAGAGTTTCTCTGTAGACGTTTTTGCAGCAGGACCGTGGATCCATGGAGACCCTCATCTGTTTACAGTGGTGGTTGGAACCAATTGGAACCATATATAATTTCATGCACACCTGCTGTGGTTGTGGTTCTCACATACTGTTTTCTGTTACGGAGTTTGTGACTCTATAAGATGAGGGTTCTCATCTCTAACTTAAAAATTTTAAGAAAACTGAGGTCTCAGATGTTCGATGGTCTGGCCACACACAGCCCCTGGTAGAAGGAAAGCTTGAACACAGGTCTGTCTGTGCTCTCTGCTCTTTCTTTTGAATGCACAGGCAGCCAGGAGTCGGTCTGTCTTGTTGTGTTTTGTGTCCTGCAATACCACTGAAGCATATAAGGTTATGGTGGTACTTGGAATCCACCAAGGGATGTTCCCCCATCAGAAACATGGACCAAGTTGTGAGGCTGGACTCATCATGTACATGTAATTCATGATGCGTAGGGACAGAAAATTTATAGGATCTAATGGATTATTTTAACGCGTCTGTATTCTCAGCCTGTTACCAGTAGTAAATGAATATGACTTGTGAGCATTGGCTAAATACTGAACATTAGTTGTGCGTTCACTTTTTTCTTTTAGATGCCATACTGAAAAAGAAAATATGAAAAAATAAGGAAAAAGAACAAAAAATTAGACAATTTATAAGCCAAGCCAAACATTTTAATTCAGATATCCTGACATATTTTCATGAATTTTATACAGATTTGTGGTACACTTTAAAACAATGTGTTATACTTGGGTGGGTGTCTAGCTCAGTGGTAGAGCGCTGTCCAGCATGTCCAGGGAGCCTCGGCTCAACACCCAGTACAGAAAAAGTTGTATCTGTGACTCTTTCTTCAAATTCAGTATACTTCAGGTGTTGGTTAGTTGGTAGTAGGCCTTGCGGTGTGAGGCAGGTGCTGCACCACTGGGCCCCCAGCCATTTTTATATCGATGCAGGTCTTGGCCAGGCTGGCCTGGACCTTGCGGTTGCCTGCCTCTGGCTCTCTAGTAGCTGGGGTTTCAAATGGGTGCCACCACACCTGGCAGATGCATGTTCTTGAGCTAAAGAAAGGGCTTCAACCTACCAAATGCAATCATTTCTATAACTCAGGACCCAGAAAAGCTTCATTTAGTATATAAAATTGTCTTAAATTATGTAATAAGTGACATAAAAGCGATATTCAGTAAGACTTGATGTGCATATTCAGGGAAATTTGTTCCATTTAGAAGATAAAGATGCATCCACTTGAGGTAGAATATAAGACAGTAAGTGATCAGTGGCCTAGAGGTAAGACCTCAGTCCGTAGATCTTGGCTCTTTGTCACTGCATAGAGAGCGATATATGCTTAAGTGTATTCAGGGTGATGTTCAAGCCTACCACTCAACAAATTTTTAAAAGCACAGAAAATGAGTGAGATAATTAAAGAGGTAATCTTAAATCTGCTCTAATTTGCATTGTTGGGATGATAAATTGGTCAGACTTTTCCGTTCTCTAAATTACTATACAATTTAGAAGACACACTGAAGCTGGGGACTGTCATGGTGCATTATGGCTGGTGTTGGGGAATGCAGTGCAGTAGCCCCTCACCCATCGACTCACAGGCCAATACCTGGACCCTGTGGTCCTCACCCCTCAGCAGCCGAGGACCTGTGCTGGTGCAGGGAGTCTCATCAGGGGTCTGAATCCCCACAGAGAAGCATGAGTGAGGGTCTTCGTGCTCCTTTACCTCGTCCCACCAGTTAGATAAGAAGGAATGGGAGAGGGTGGAGGGTTCTCCCCAGCGTTAGAGGAAAGCAGTCCTGTGGCTGTGCTCGGAAGGGCAAAGGGAAGCTAGGGATGAGGGTGGCAGCCGTCCTGGGATGAGTCCCCCAGGTGCACAAGAAGAGAAGGCACCCTGTTGGCAGGCTTCGATACTTTGTTCCCAGTGAGGCATTTGCAGCCCAGCTCTCGGCTGGTCGCTAAATGCCAAGGTGTCTCTTTGGCCGAAGACACAGTGATAAGAAAGAGAATGCCATGGAAGAGCATCATTATAATAAATGCAACTGTTGTTATAATGAGTAGCTGAAGGACAGTGAGATCTCAGAAGATAGATCAGCTGTTGAGAGAAATAATGTGTACTGACTTTTTCAAATTTTATTTTAAAAATTGCATGAAGTGAGATCTCCCTGTAAAAGACCTTATCATAGTATTTTGTTGTCTAAAACTTTTAATATTTTGAATGTTATATAGTAATGTACTAATCGTTTAGATCAAGGAATAAAAAGAAAATCAGAGTAATTCAAGGTGAATTAGAGCAGGTCTTTTCCATTTCATCTCTGTCGTTGATAGCCACAAAGGGATTTTTTCAGAAGGGGGTTAGAGGTGGTACCGCAGTTGATCTGATGGCTGGAGGGGCCTCAAGTGCCCTTGTGTAGGGACCGTGGAAGCTCTGCGTCTCGAGCACTAGGGGGCCTCATATGACCAGCAGTTGGTGCCTCTCATTTTTATTTGACTACGTGGACTGGGAACAAGCAGCTTTAACTTCTAGCACCCAGTCGTCCTGCCAGCTCTCAGAAACATGGTTTAATTCCTGAACTATATTGAAAACACTTAGTGATCCTACAGATAAAAAGAGGGATTTCTTGGTAGGTCTAGGCTTTGGTTATGGATATAGTGTATGGAACTGGATGTTAAAAAAAAGGCTCATGATGTCAATCAAAAGAATAGAACAGTTTTTGGGTTTTTTTTTTTACTTTTATTAGTACATTTGCAGTGCACGATGCGTCCATTCACTGTAGGGAATGGTACATGTGATAACACATTTCAGTTTTTTCCCCCCCATCCTTCCACCTTCATTTTATTTTTCCTGTATCATATTCATTTCTTCTAAGACCTTATAAAGTTGATTATCATATGTACAGATTCAACAGGCTATAAGAGTGATAAACATATACTCACCCAATATCAGTGTACCTAAATATATAAATTAGTTAACAGATCTGAAGGGAGAAATAGCCAGTAATACAGTAATAGTGGCGGATTTCAGTATCCCACTTTCAGTAATCAGTGGATCATCCAGACAGAAAATCAGTAAGGGAACATTGGACTTCTAGGTCAAAACGGACCTAACAGACATATGCAAAATAGTTCATTCAACAGCAGCCTAATACCAGTTGTTTTCAAATATGCATGGAGCATTCTGATCAAAATATATGTTATGGGGGCCAGGGATCTAGCTCAGTGGCATAAGTGCCTGCCTGGCAAGTGAGAGTTCAATTCCCGGTACAAAAAAAAAAAATATATATATATATATAAATTACGGTACAAAACAGTCTCAACTAATTTGAGAAGACTGAAATCATATCGATATGGTCAATCATGGTCAATCTTACCTGACCATGATGGTGTGAAACTAGAAAGCAGTAACAAGAGGAAGACTGGTAAATGTATATAAATCTGTGGAAACTAAACATAAGCCTGAACAAGCCAGTGAGTCAGACAAGAAGGGCAGAAGGGAAACTAAAAAATTCCTGGAGACAAATGAGAATGGAAACATACCAGACCTCTCAGGTGCAGCAAAAACAGTTCGAAGAGGGAAGTGTGTGGCCATGCATTCCTACATTAAAGAAGAAAGACCCCAAACAGCTGAATATTATGCTGAAAGAAACTAGAAGAACAAATTAAATCACATTACTGGAAGGAAGGAAATAGTGAAGAGCAAAAATAAACAAAATAGAAAATCTGTAGATCAAATCAACAGAATGAGTTGGTTTTTCTTGGAACAAAATAAAATAAAATTGACAAAGCCTTAGCTAGATTAAAAAGAAGAGTCAAATAAAAGCAGAAATGGAAATAGAGATCTTTCAGTGGATATATCAGAAATAACAAGGATCGTAAAGGCTATTGTGAACAGTTATATACTAGCAAATGAGAGAACCCAGAGAAATGGGTCAGTTCCTAGAAACATCCTCTCCCAGGACTGAGTCAGGGAGGACTAGAACACCTGAACAGACCAATTAAATAGAGACTGAAGCAGAAAAGTGAAACCTCCCAACAGAAGGTCCCAGGACCAGATGTCTTCACAGCTGAATTCTGCCAAACACTCTGAGAACGGAAACTCACCCTTCCTAAACTCTTCTGAAGAACGAACTAGAAGGGACACCTCCAAACTCATTTTAAGAGCCTAGGGTAATCCTGACGCCATCCCCAAAGACACAAGAAAACTTCAGGCCAGTAGCTCTGATGAGCATAGCTGTAAAGTCCTCAGTAAACGACCTCGGAAACACGGTGGCACGCCCGCAGGGGCTGGTCCTCGAGATCGTTGGCAGTGCCGCTAACGTGTGTGCCACACTGACAGGGCAAGGTGGGCACGGCGCTGTCTCCAGAGCGCTGGGACAGTTTCCGACTAAGTTGAACATCTTTTCCTTTTGAAATCGCTGCTGGGGATTGAGCCCAGGGCCTTCACACTGAGCTGCATCCTCGGCCATTTTTTTATTTTGAGACAGGGTCTCAACTAAGTCACTAAGTTGACCACACTGGGCCTGAAACTTGCAGTTCTCCTGCTTCAGCCTCCCAGAGTGCTGGGATTACAGGCATGTGCCTCCACACCTAGCTTCAACATCTCTTCTTGATTAAAAACTCTTGACACTTTAGATATAGAGGGACATTTTCTCAGAATGGTTAAGGCCATTTTTTTAAAAAAAGCCAACAGCTAACATCAGAATTGGAAAGTTTCCCTTTAAGATTTGCCTCTGTTGCTCAGCATAGCACCGGAAGTACTAGCAAGATAGACAAGACAAGGAAAGGCAAAGCATCCAGAGTAGAAAGGAAGAGGAAAGCACCCCTCTTTGCAGATGGTGTGATGCTGTGTGTCGAAAACCCTAAAGACTCACCCAAAAACTTGTAGAGCAAATGAATTTATAAAGTTACAGGATATATAACCAGTATACAAAAAGTCAGTTGCATTT